TATTTGGCTACTGAGAAATCTTGTCGGAATGTATCACAATCTTGTCTGTGACGACCACTACGGTTCGTAATTGTGGAGTTATTAATATTGAAATTGGGGTGAAAAGGGGAGATGTAATGTTTCAAGTGGAAATAATGTCCCGGTATTTATGAAAGTGGTTTAAGTCAATTAAATATTCGACAGAAATGCCTTCATATTATTACAACGTAAATCGATGTAACACCAAATAAGCGATACGTTGAATATTTTCAGATTTCTTACTTAATCCACTTTTATAATCACTGGCACATATAGTGTCTACTTGTGAGTATTGTTACTATTTCGAGTATTTCCACTGACTTATAAACATTTCCACCTACTTTCGCAGTGACTCACATATTCGTTCATACACTTTCCAAATTACAATTAAGCCTACAAATTTTCCTACAATTTCTAGTTACATGTCATCATGATTTTTACTTTTATCATACTTTCGTGATAAATTGTTCTTAATTTTGAAATATGAGTCGTAGTTTAATAGATAATCTGGTGAAATAAATATGACTGCTTTCCGTGAACAAATTTGAGTCACTGTAACAATCTACGAGAACACCTCGTGTTAAAATGGCTAACATCGGATTTTGCAAGTACCTATCGTTCCCAAATGAAATCAATGATGAATCACCGATATCACAGTTCCATCTACTTCCTACACGTCATTCGATAAGTGAAGCATCTTTCAGCCACGTTTCGAGCGTCAGAACTGATTATCCCCATCAAATCTCAATCTCACGAATAAAAATGGATAATCGAATTTTCAATCGGTTCTCCAAAACTGGTTCAATCTACTTCCTACACGTCATTCGATAACTAAAGCATCTTTCAGTTACTTTTTCAGCTTCAAAAGTGCTTATCAAAGCCTCCCCACGATTCATTTCAATCCTATCTCAATTTCGTGAATCCGAATGAGTTTCAGATTTTCAATCGGTTCCCCAGAACTAGTTCAATCTATGTACTTCCTACACGTCATTCGATAACTAAATCATCCTTCAGCCACATTTTCAGCTACAGAACTGATTATCAAATGCTCCAAACGATTCATTTCCATTCAACGATTTCGTGAATAAAAATGTGTTTCGAATTTACAGTCGATTCTCCAGAGCTCGCGAGGATCGAAGGCATCCGCGGAGGTCGCCGTAGATCGTGGTACCGGAAGTTTTTCTCGTCGGGATCCCGCGAATCGGCGGTGTTATCGTTGGTCCCCCCGTATTCGGCGACGTTTAGTCTCCCCGGACGCTCTCGATGTTTTCCACGCGTACGTGCGTCAGTCTGTAGCCGGGCCGAGGAGAGTGTGATTATTGTAACTTCGATGAGATAAGGGCATCGTGCCACGAACGTGTCTGCTCGTGATAGTGGCCCGTTTGTGCCCGAGCAGTAATTTATTAGTCGGGCCTGGGCCGAGATATATCCGCCGAACGCTTCGAACCTTTTTCGCGGCTTTAATGAAACGGATAGGAGTATATACTCTCGATAGTTTTTTTCTTCCTCTCTCGTGACCTGAATCGTCGACGTTCGAGAAGAAAAAAAGAGATATTCAAATAATGGATCTTATTTTAAACTTTCTCAGTGGTGGTTGATAAACAGTTGCTAGAAGGATACGAGCGAACGCCTCGACAATAACATCTTTGTGTCTTTTCAGGGTCTTCGACTCTTCAAGTATCGGAAAGAATGTCGTATGGTTCGGTCGAGGAATTTTTATACGATCGATAGTTCGAAGTGTACGAAACAGCTGTGAAAGATGACGAAAGTAAGAAGTATTTACTCTTAATTCGTGTTAGTTGAGTGGAGAAAAAGGGGATCGTAAGTTGGAATAACTTTAACTCCATCAGGGTAACTTTGTCCCAAAGTCAGAAAACAATCATTTTCGATTTTGCGTGTATTTTCATGTGAAACAGCTTTCCACGTAGAATGTTAACTTAGTTTAACAATTTGCAAAGATGCAAAATCGATACATGGTAATATTGGCCTATATTAGCCGGTATGAATATTAATTGATAATAGTAATTTATGAATTGTACTTGACCCGCAAGGGAGTCGGAGTAAACTGAGAATATTGTACAATTTTGTCCATACGGTTGAAGCATCGTACTAACGAAAGTTGCAATGACAGACGATAGAATCGATAAGTTCAAACGTCCACTAATCGAGTATCGAAGAAATGTCAAATGGTATCCGGAAAGTTCAACTTGTCGAGAATGAAAGAAAACTGAATCTCGATGAATTCAATATGGAAAAGTGAATTGAAGGAAAAGAAACGAATTCAATGGAATAACACGGTGGTTTCGATGTCCACCGGCTTTCGTCGGCGTAGCCGCCGGTTAATGCATCGGTTCAATTAGCGGGCAACACGGTGACACGGAACAATCAATTACGTTTGTTTACAAGGTGTACCCGTTAACGGCGGTGGCGGCCATTCAGCAGTCGTTTAAAACGGAATTAACATTCCTCGAAGATGAACGCCGTTCTCGCTGATCGTACATTGTTCGTACATTCGAAACGCGTTGCAAGATGGAAAACAAATATGAAACCGTCGTGCAACTGTCTTGTACAGGATTTTAAATGAAAACGAATGTAAATGTACGAAGAATGTAATCTACAATTATTTTCCAACATTCTTTCGAAATAGATAATGCATGTCGATTTCTTCTACATTCGTATTCTACGTACACTATCGATCAAAATTATAGGACAAGTGCTCGTGATTGATGGAACAGTAACTCATTATTCTGTAACGATATAATAAATGTGATGGAATCTGACATATACAAATCATTTCCAATCAGTTTAGCACGTTACTTTACCATAAAGTAACATTATCATAAAATAATATTATTCTGATATGATTATCATAAAATAATATTATTCTGTTTCTTTAATTATCAGACCTAATTCCACACTTTTGATCGGTAGTGTATATAGAGGAAATCGAAGTGCATTACCTACTTCACAAAGATCTTAGGAATTATAAGTTTCAACTACAAATAGTTTAGTTTATTTTGTCATAATGGTCTACGTATATTTCCGTTTTTCATCACAAATAATTCTATATATTTAATTCATTCATGCAGGTGGACGACAGAAAAGTCGGAATTGTGTATGGGTTACAACTCCTGTCAGTGTCTTCAAAATTGCTACTCGTCAACAGTAAAAAATCACTAAGTTTCTAAACTACAGTTGTCATATCCTCACATTAAGTCGAAGCTTATTATTAGATTACTCCAATTTTGGAACAATCATCAATCCCCCTATAACCATCGAGAAACTTGTCAGATCGTCTCTAATCAACATTCACCACTTCAAATTTGTATACAATGTTATTTTATTGCAAACTGAAGAAGAATATTCCGAAAAAATTCAACCCTCCGAGTGACACTGGTCTCGAAGGGATCTCGAAATTTTCCTATAATGTTTTTCCGTTAGAAACTGAAGAAGAATATTCCAAGAAAATACAACCCTCCAAGTAACACTGGTCTCGAAGGAACTTCGAGATTTTCGTGTAATGTTTTTTTATTCCCCTCTTCGAAAAGAATTTCTAATTTTCTTGATAACCGTGTATGATCGACCAAGCAGACATTTTCCATCGTTCACAAGAATCCAATTAACAGACAAGATCCTCCCGTGTCCCGATTCATTATCCCCCAGGTAGACACGAAAAAAATTCGCGACCTTTGCCGCGTTCCGTACGAAACCCTGTGCGCGCGTCTTCTCCACGCACAGAGAGACTACGCTCGTCGGTCTTTTCTTTTTTTTTTTTTCGTTCTTTCTTCTGTCGACACCGATCTACAACGTCGGGAATCAAGAAACCCGTTTCGCCCGTGTCGCGGTTGCCCGGTCGAATATATCACCGCCGGGCGTTACGTCGCCGATAAGCGTCGGGACTCGTCCCGCGACTGGTCGCGCGACGACGACCGGCCAATATTCCAATTACGGAAACAGGAGCAATAAAATTGTTGGATCGAATTATCCAACGGCACGGGATTTGTTTCCATTAAGAGGTACAACGCGAGACTGTCGCCGTGGTTCCCCATCGGCGCGATCCCTTTTCATCCTAGTCCCGGACACGCCGGGTTTTCAATTAATATTTCAACTCCACTTGGTGTAATGTGTCTCGTTACGCTGATAGTCATCGCTTGGATGTCGTTTACGTCGAAGGTATTTCGAATTTTTAACAGAGAAACACGACAGTGTCTAGACCAGTTGGAGCAACCTGATTACATTCGATTGGTGTTTACGTATTTGGATGCATTTGGATTTCAACGACGAAGATTTCAAGGTGACAGAAGTTCTGACAACTGAATTGGCGGGAGTTCAGGATCGTAGATCCGTTAAAATTACTGAAGTGAATAATTTGTAGGATTGTTGTGTTATCTACGATAACATCGGCATTTTTAAGGTTTGTGAATTGTTCCGATTAACGAGTGAATTTTGAACTAAATCGAAAAGTCATCATAACATACGCAGAGAGTATTAAATGTTAGCCTGAGTCGAACAATCTAGTTCACCATGAAGTATCATCCCCTGAAGAAACCATCCATTCCACATCAAAGATTTCCTAACCTAGTTTCAAGTAAATCTAGCTACCCACTAATCTCTCCTGAATCCAACTGTCAAACGAAGATCAGAACGTCGGAGATCATCACTCGAGGCCACTGCGACGTGTCCTCTTGTACCGCCAAGAGGGCTCCAAAATCCATTTCGGTGTACCAACCCTCCCTTAGAATTTAATCCCGAGCTCCTCTATCCCGGGAAGCCTCTTCGCGAAGTGTCAACACGCGAGAGTGCAGACACGAGGAAGATCAAACGGTTTGTGGAGGGAGGGGGGGAGGGCAAGGATCATCATCCACAGATCATCGAGGCCACCGCGCGACACAAAGGTAGAAGGGAGGGGGCCGGGGTAGCCCTTGACGATCCGTGCACGGCCAATAAGCAAAGGAAGAGAGAAACAGAGGGATGACACTCACCCAGTGCATGCCGGTGGTAGGAGGGGCGCGCTCCTCATACACTCCCATCAGGGTGGCTGCTGTCGCGGGGTAGTTCCCGCCGAGGGTGCGCGACGCCGAAGCTGCTTGGGGGGGAGTCCCGGAGGATCCGCTTGCCGATAACGCGGAGATGGCGTCCGCTGCGCAGGTTCTCTTCCTCTGTCTCCTCTTCTTCCTTCTCCAGCACGATCACACACCTTGTTCCCGTAGCCCCTTGCTTCGCCTAAGTACCTCTCGGTCCCGAAACGACAATTCCCCACTCAACAACAAAAAAAAAAAACGTCACTACCCTAAACCCCCACGCAGGTCTTTTCGGGGAATAACAACCAGACAGTGTAATTCTGTCCTGGCAAAGACGGTTATCGCTCACAGGCACATCTCGCCGATGAAAGAATCACCCCCTAAGTTATATATACTCCCCCCTGTATCATCCAAGGCCCAGCCGACAACCGAGAACAGTCACGGTTCTACCCAGGTGAACGGAGTACACCCTCCTCCCTTTCTCACTGCACAATCACTGTATGCGAGGTTCATCCACGCGAGCCAGTGTCAGACTGGACAGTCAGTCCGTGACACCGAAGAATCCATCCGTACAATCCCTGGTTCCATCGTCAGTAAACCGCGCGAACGACCCGGTTTCCCACAGAATGTAATCACTAAAGGACGACGATCGAAGGGAGCCAACAACAGCTCTCCGGTTAGTCCGCGCACCTGCACTCAATTTTATACTACCACTCTCGGGGAGATGTCCTTTGGGGCATCGAAACGTGGGGGAAGGAGATCGATCTCTCTCAGTTCGTCCTCCGCCGAAGGAACGACCGGTCGCGGAACATCAGGCCCGTTGCATGGCCCCGCGCATGTGCCTCGTGCCCACGGAACACCAACGAAACCCGACGACAACGACGACGACGACACGTTCGAGAGGAACGACGCCAGGGAACGAGGTACGCGCGAGCACGCTGCGCCACGGTAAATACAGGTCCGTCTGCCGAGACGAAGCCGCGTTGCGGAGTGAGGAAACCCGGCACAGCTGCAACTGGTTCCAGGCCAGAGGCAGCGCCGCCGCACGGCGGAACCCTGGAAACCGCGGTGCGACACAAGGTGGGGCGGACACGGTTCCCCGAAAGACCGCCTACTTTCACCCCTTCTCCACTCGCCGGACGAACCGGCCGGGCCACGCCCCCTTCGTATCCACCTAACCCTGCTGCGCCTCTCTTCGTCTAACCATCCCTCTAGCTTGACTCTTTCTATTTACGGGGACTGTACTCTTTGCTCCACGCTCTGCTCCAGAGAATCGTCTGCGGCGGAGGACAGGCGGCTACGTGCGGCTGCAACACACACAGTGGCGTAGACGGGCTTGTATTGTACCCAGACCGTGTTATACACCCTTTGACCAGGTGATTCGGGTGTCTCTCTGTCTTTCTCTCCTCTCCTAGCTCTTTGTACGACGATGCTCTCGATGGAGGGAGAGAGGGAAATTAGGTTGCTTATTAGGTTTTGACCGAGGATAAGCAAGCACCCGGGGTGAGCACAACCGATTTTACTACGGATTAGTGCCACACGGAGTTGTCCCTACCACCTTCCCCGCTAGATATTCTGTTTCCTTCCACTTTAGCTGTAACTGGTTTGGTACTACTTGGATGACAAACAATACGGGGCTGGTGTGAGCAACGTGCGGACAGGATATATTATAGTGGAGCCCCGGTTCAATGTTTAAAGATAACTGTTTCGTAAATATTAGTTGTGTCTGCGTTAGGTCTGAAGCGTAGACGTGAACTGTTCTCTTTTTATTTTTCACAATTATTTATTATTCGTTATTTAAGACTGGTTATGAAGATTACAAGTTTTCACGTCTCAGGAACTTTGGTAGTGTGAGATCATACTCAACGTACTGTAAATTGAGGTAACTTTGTTCAAAATCAGAAAACGACCATTTTCGATTTTTCAGCTCTTTTTCTATCAACTTAACTTCACAATTTTCAAAGCTACAAAATCGATAATGATCGTTTTCTGACTTTAGAACAAAGTTACTCTGACTGAGCCAAAGTTACCCCAACTTACGGTACTCCAATAAGTGAATCTGCCATAAACCTTGACTCCACCTTAAATTACTACAACGAAGTCACATAAATTTAGTTCCAGAACAATCTCCAGTGTTTAAAATGAAAGCAATCTAACAGTATGTCGATACATACACAGCCATAGCATTGAATAAAACAGCCACAGGATCAAACGAACCAAAATGCCCACAGCACACGAGACACCTAACCCAAGCACCTCATTTTCGCTTCGAATTGAAAGCCAAAATTCACGGTTCCAGTCGTTACACTCACTTTGCCGTATTTTTAATAAAAGACCATCCCCGGCCATTCAACGAACGGTTCACTTAACTACCCCGACATTTGCATAAACAACCAAATTACACGGTGGCTTAGCGTCTGCACCTTCGTCACGCAAGAGTCACGCGTGATCGTCGTTTAGCCCATGAACTTTTTTTTTTCGTCGCGGAAACACCCGAAAGGCTACTGCTGTAATTGGGTTAGAGGATGGGGCGGGAGGGATGGGTTCGATGTATGTACAGGTAAAATTCGTGGACGATTCCTCGAGGTGTATTCCAGGAGTCAGCGGAGCGGGCAGTTGCATCCGGCCACGATTTCTGCGGTATTCACAGCGCGCGGGACCTCGGGGCCTTTTTTATTTCGCTCTCTGGAAAGTCGATTCGGCGGAACAGTAACGGCCTTCATCTTTTTGCCCCGGCGAGCCGGCCCCGCAGCCTTTGTACACGACATTGTCCGTTTCGCCTCTCTATCCGCGGCACGAAACTTTTTGGCCCGCTGATTTTCTTGCCGTTACACAACGACCGTGTCTCGGTCCGGTGTCCACGATAGACTGAAATCGCTAGACGACCGAACGAACACGCCGATTTCTTTTCCTTCATTGACCGAGTTTGCGCGGTAAGATTTGCTATTTCCGTTTGCGTATACTTTCTTAACCCTCCAGGCTATCACAGTGGTTAAATTAACCCAGAATTTGAATTTGAAGGAAAATATCTTTGAAAATGATTTTTTTGAATTTGAAAATTTTATTGAAAATTATGCTTTTGACGCCTGTACATAATAGCAATTTCAGGTATTCTGGAGACACTTTATTTCAAAATTTTATTATTATTATTATTTATTAAATAAACGAGATAAATTATATTATTATACATTTTTGTTCTTTTTCAAGAATTCTCCGGGTCGATTGGGACCTAAAATGATATTACTGTTACTTCTATATCGTAAAGAATTCTCAAGTTATATTTTTAATTGATGCCATGGAAATGACTAGATTTCTTTACTTTTTTCAAACAATCCATGCTAAAATGATTTTCGAAAATTATTTCGTTCCAGAAAGTAAGAACGTATATAGAATGATATAAAGTAAGAAAAATATATAAATTACGAACAAACAATATGTATTATAAATCGGAGCGTATCTAAGGTATGAGTCTTCAGTGACGTTAAACACGATGAAATTTTCAATGTTAACAACCCTCAGAAAATATACCCTCAAATCATATATTTTGTACTTAAAGTAAAAACGAACCAAATACGCCATGTCTAAAATCGTGTTGGTAAATAATGTTTCTCCACAAACGGATTGATTGTAGCCTATAAAAAAAAATGGTTCACTTTTATTTTAACCACAAAATATAAGGATTGAAAATTTTAGGGTGGTTTTATAATTATGTCACACAGTGTAGTGACTATAACATTTGTCTTCGATTTCAGGAATATTCAACTGCATAAATAAAGAAGCAAAGGAAGACAGGTGTCAACAACGACTTACCTCGTCTTCATCCCTTCAAAAATCAAAATTAATACATATCCAGGAGTCCAGAGTCTTCCTCGTTCGCCATTGACCCCCATGTTCCACGGCTGATTAAAGTTCATCTCCTGACTGCGACTCGGTATATCTCGTCCTCGATCCAGCAGAAATCTGCTAACCTCGATTCGCTGGAAACGACCGTGTAGCCAGGTCTGGAACAAAAGACGCAACAAAAAGGGCCCCCGGTTTTCATCCTTTTTCCCCGTTGGGCCCAGCCGAGGCTCGAGCGTAACGCGCGCACCCACCGCTTCCTTCCCGGTGTTGCGTCCGCGGTGAAAAAAGAAAAAGGCAGAAATAAAAGCGACAGGTTTCAGCGGCGAAGAGGAGGACAGAAGGGAGCAGCCGGCCAGCGCGGCGTAGAGAGACGGGCAAGGATGAAACCGGGTCGGAGCCGCGCGACCAGCTGAAACAGAACCGACGGACCGCCGGGTCCGTCCGATATTCCGTCATAAAAAGGAACCGGTTCCCCCGTTTGCAATGTAGACGGAAACCGTCTGCGCCGTCCCCGGTGGCTACGATAACGCCCGTCGAATGATGGAATCCGCGACGAACATCACCGCTGATCTGGAGAGGTGGGGGGGGGGTGTCATCGTGCGCGCGCGCAATCTTGGGGCCTCGTGGCGCGATTAAAATCCTGTGTTTACAGGGAGTCCGCGTGGAATGCAGAAAAACACGTTGACGAAAGTAAGTTGTCGGCTATGAAGACCGGGTTTCGACTCTCTGCCCCCTCCACCAGTGTCTTGTGTTTGGATTTTAAGGTGAAATAGATGGGGAAACGTGTGCAACCGATAGCTCGAGAAAAGATGGCGGATAGTCTGGCCTGGAGTCTCTTATCAGGAGCCGATTACACCGATTATGCTACCTTTCTCGATCGGTGAGGGCCAGTTTTATAGTCGAGCTTCAGTGATCTTTGTCGTACAGCGGTGACGGTGATTCATGACGTGATTCGAGATAAAATCAGGTTATGGTCGAGGTTTAGATTGTAGTTTTTGAAAAGGTATGGAGCTGAGTGGGATAAAGTGATGTTTGGGGACATTTCTGGGTATCACTACGGTTATTTAGGTTTCTCGTGAGTGGACGGAACGATCTTATCTTCCTGTCAAATTTGTACAACTTAATGTAGCTTCGAGGGCTACCACCTGTCCTCTGCAGGCGGAATC